TTTAAAGTTTAAGCGTTTGCGCTTGAGAACGACAATTCTTGAGTTCGAATCCCGTTAGCAGGATCATAGATGCGTACTGTTATGGAGTCCCATACTGGAACAAATCGGCTGTCTAATGTTTTCAGGTTCACTATGGTGGTCTAGTTTTAATTGATTCACCAATTCAACTATTAAAATTACTACAATCTCCACAAAACCCTTTCTGCTACTGTTGGGGTATTCAGAAAATACCCCAGAAATTATCTAATGCTATTCCTGAATGAGAAGTAGTGTCATTTCCCCATTGGTCAACATTCTTCCAACGTGTCATCTCCTTATTGGTCAGTATTTATTTGTGTCATTTCCCGAAAGTTAAATCTTGTACAAATGTCACTTCTATTTATGGTACGATGTAGTCTGTTTGTTTGGTATATAAACAGTGTATGTTTGAAATATAACGATTCATATCTCCGAGGCTGAGACTTGTGTTCTGGACTCAATTGGCTGGGCTAGACAGGGAAGCAGGACCAATCAGAGCTCTAGGCTGCTCGCTCGTATTTTGTGCGTCACTGTTTCGATCGATAATAGGCTGCTCTCTAATAGGCGGATCACACGTTATAACAGCTACCAAATAATTATACAGTTATATTTTCATAGCTACTTAGGTAAAAATTTCTTTTTATAACCAGAAATTAAAATATCTGAAAACTTTTCAATTGATTCACCATTGGGGTGGTGATCAGTGTCATGTGTGTCAGGTCCTTCTTAGTGCAGGTCGAAACCTATCGACTAAGTTGTAATGTGGTCGCAGCGAGACTACGATCACAAATAAAGGAACTTCTTAGTAGTCCCATTCATCGTAGTCGCTTAATTATTTCATTTTCTCTACAATCCGCTATGAACCAACCATAAGTAAGCATCAGATACTAGAATTGGCGCTGAGACGTTGAAGTCCCTCAAACGCTTCTGATTCGCTCCATTATAAATTATAGTCTTGCCGCGGCCACTAGTCTAGTTTACTCGACATTGCGTTCACTATGTTGAGATGAAATAGTGGTTGGAGGTAGTTCACAGGGTTTTCTATCGACTACCTCCAATCACAATATTATATCTAAAGGGTAGAAGAAAATTTGTAAGGACCTTAAATACCATTATGTTCATTTCAGTTGGTCAGTATCATAATACCTTAGTGTTATTACTTATAACACTAAACCTGGATATTGAAGCTTCAAATTATGTAGAAATATCTTTTTCTCTTTTTAAGAGTTTAGACATACCATACTGGTGACTTCTGAATAGTAATGGAAAGTGCATATACGGTAGCTAATCGATTACCTCTAGTCACTAAACATTCAATTTATGTACCATATTAATTGTCCGCAATTCACATGTTTGAGTAAAGTTATAACAAACTGACTAGCCTTTAATTTTGGTGGAATTTTCAAGAAATCGTGACGATTGAAAGCAAATGTTCGGTGCTTTAAACAGGTTGGTGGATACAGAAGATCCACCTAGGGGAGCTAAAATGCCCTTGTTCCAAACCAATGGTTCACATGGGCTCCAGAATGCTAAGGGAACAAATCACATGTAAACCTAATGTTGGTCACCGGCTATCATGAGACTGTGGATTAGACCTTCAGATCTAAGGCTTGGTGAGTAATCTGTACAGATGCCTTAGGTCAGTATCCCAACCTTCATACAAATCATTCGATTTGTATGACACAGATATATTTAGTGACTCCTTGTACCAATTTTCATATGTTTAAACAATTATTTAGAACCTAAGAACTTACTTACTTACGCCTGTTACTCCTCGTGAAGGAGCATAGGCCGCTCACCAGCATTCTCCATCCAACCCTGTCCCATGCAATACTTTCAAGCTCTTTCCAGTTCTTATTCATCCCTTTCATATCTGATTCCATTTCCCGACGTAATGTGTTCTTTGGCCTTCCTCTTTTCCGCTTCCCTTCAGGATTCCAAGTTAGCGCTTGTCTCGTAATGCAGTTTGATGATTACCTCAATGTATGTCCTATACATTTCCATCGTCTTTTCCTAATTTCCTCTTCAGCTGGAAGCTGGTTGGTTCTTTCCCACAAAAGGCTGTTGCTGATGGTATCCGGCCAATGGATGTTGAGTATCATGCGTAGACAGCTATTGATAAATACCTGTACCTTCTTGATGGTGGTTGTTGTAGTTCTCCAAGTTTCAGCTCCGTACAGTAGAACTGCCTTGACGTTCGTATTGAAGATTCTGACTTTGATATTGGTTGAAAGTTGTTTTGAGTTCCATATGTTCTTCAGTTGAAGGAATGCCGCTCTAGCTTTGCCAATCCTCGCCTTGACGTCTGCATCTGAACCTCCTTGTTTATCGACGATCCTTCCCAGGTATCTGAAGGATTCCACGTCTTCCAGAGTTTCGCCATCAAGAGTGATTGGATTGCTGTTCTCCGTGTTGTATTTGAGGACCTTGGTTTTCCCTTTGTGTATGTTGAGGTCTACTGATGCAGAGACTGCTGCTATGCTGGCTGTCTTTATCTGCATTTGTTCGTGTGTATGTGATAGGAAGGCTAGGTCATCTGCGAAGTCCAAGTCGTCTAATTGGTTGTGAGCTGTCCATCGTATGCCGTGTTTTCCCTCAGATGTCGAGGTCTTCATAATCCAGTCGACCACCAGAAGAAACAGGAAGGGAGAGAGTAGACAGCCTTGTCTTACTCCGGTCCTTACTTGGAATGCGTCAGTCAGCTGTCCTCCATGCACTACTTTGCACTGTAGTCCGTCATATGAGTTCCGGATAATATTGACAATCTTCTCAGGAACTCCGTAGTGTCGAAGTATTTTCCAGACCGTTCTCCTATCTACACTGTCAAATGCCTTTTCATGATCAATTAAGTTGATGTACAGTGACGAGTCCCACTCAATGGATTGTTCGACGACGATCCGTAGTGTCGCAATCTGGTCTGTGCACGACCGGTCCTTACGGAATCCAACTTGTTGATCTCGAAGTTGAGCGTCAACTGCGTCTTTCATCCTGTTCAGTAACACTCTGTTGAAGACTTTACCCGGTATTGACAGAAGTGTAATGCCTCTGTAGTTTTCACACTTGCTCAGATCTCCTTTCTTTGGAAGCTTGATGAGGTGTCCTTCTTTCCAATCCATCGGCACTTGTTCGTTCTCCTCCCATATCTTCTTGAATAGAAGATGAAGCATGCTTATAGTTACTTCGATGTCTGACTTCATTGCTTCACCTGGTATATTGTCGGGTTCTGCTGCTTTCCCACTCTTGATTTGTCTGACGGCCATTCTGATTTCTTCTGTCGTTGGTGGATTGACATGTATAGGAAGATCTGTGTGTGCTGCTTCGATGTCCGGTGGATTCATTGGAGCCGGCCTGTTCAGGAGTTCCTCGAAGTACTCTGCCCATCTGTTGCGCTGTTGTTGAATCTCAGTGATTGGTCTTCCTTCTTTGTCTTTGACTGGTCTCTCTGGTTTACTGTATTTCCCTGCAAGCTTCTTCGTCGTATCGTAAAGCTGTCTCATATTTCCTTCTCTTGCAGCTTTTTCCGCCGTCGTTGCTAGTTCTTCCACGTATTTTTGCTTATCAGCTCTAATGCTCTTCTTCACTTTCTTGTTTGCTTCTATGTACTCTGCTTGTGCTTGGACTTTCTCTGCTCTTGTTCGACTGTTGTTAATTGCTGTCTTCTTGTTCTTTCTTTCTTTGATCCTGTCCAGTGTTTCTGTAGAGATCCATTCCTTATGATGATGCTTCTTGGGACCCAGAACCTCTTGACACGTTGAAGTTAATGTTTCTTTGATACCTTTCCAGCTATCCTCCATAGTAGTTTCTTCTTCCTTCAGTAGATCCTGTAAGGCTTGGAACCTGTTGTTGAGAGCTACCTTGAATTCATTGAGTTTGTCAGTATCTCGAAGGAAGGCTGTATTGAACCTTTGTGGTGCTGTTTGTCCAGTTGTCCAGTTCTTCTTTAGCTTCAGTTTCAATTTGGCCAAACCAGGTGATGATCTGAAGCTATGTCCGCTCCTCTCCTGGTTTTCACATCTTTCATTGTCCTTCGGAACTTTTTATTGATGCGAATGTGATCTATCTGGTTCTCTGTGGTGTGGTCCGGTGAGATCCATGTAGCTTTGTGTATACGTTTGTGTGGAAATGTTGTACCGCCTACGACCAATTTATTGAATGCACACAGATTTGCAAATCTTTCCCCGTTTTCGTTTCTCTCTCCCAGTCCATGTAGTCCCATGATGTCTTCATATCCGGTGTTGTCCATTCCGACTTTGGCGTTTAGATCTCCCATCAGAATGGTGAGGTCCTTTCTTGGGCACTTCTCTATGATTGATTGCAGCCTCTCATAGAATTGATCCTTAACGTCGTCGTTGCTATCATTGGTGGGTGCATAACATTGGATAATGTTCATTGTGATCCCCTCCTTCTTTGTTTTGAATGATGCTTTGATGATTCTGGATCCGTGAGATTCCCATCCTACAAGTGCATTTCGTGCTACTTTGGATAGCATTAAAGCAACTCCCTGAGTGTGTGGAGCATTTTCCTCTTCGTGACCGGAGTATAGCAGCATCTCTCCCGTATTTAGCCTTTGTTGTCCAGCTTGGGTCCAATGGGTTTCACTGATTCCCAGTACTGCCAAGTTGTATCTCCTCATTTCCGTTGCTATTTGACTGGTCTTCCCGGTCTCCCACATTGTCCGGACGTTCCATGTACCTATAAAAATTGTTGCTCTGGTTGTTAGAAGGGGCATCGGCCTCGTGGCTTCCGAAGGAACTCGGCTTTTACCATGAAGCGTCATATTACCTCTAACTCCCAGGGCAGAGTTTAAATGGTTTGAGTTATTTTTTCTGGTTAGCGTTTTTTTAGCGAGTTAGGTTTCTACCGGATGGGGACGCTAACCCCATGCCCAACCCTCCTCCTTTACCCGGGCTTGGGACCGGCAGTAACTCTGGAAGAGCTACAGGCGGAGTTAGAACCTAAGAACTCTGAACAATTATTTTATCCTAATATGGTATCCATTATCCCGTACATGAATCTACCTTAGATCGATTCATGAATTCAACTATTCATAATACGATAACCTTCACAAATCACTTTATTGATAAATCTTATATCCTGTAAGTTTTATTTTTAAAAAAATAAATTTATTTTTTTAGGAGGGAACAATGAAAGAGGGGGGTGGAAGGAAGAGGGGGGAGGTTGGAGAATGAGGAGGAGGAGGAGGAGGAGGAGTGTAGAATAAATATGTTCTATAATATTTCATTATAAACTATTAATATATTTTTCCGTACAATTTTATTCATTCAATTGATAACAAACATACTTTAAAATAAATAGAAATTTAAAAGAAAAAAAAATTTGTAGATAATACATTAAAATGCATAAATTACAAGAAAAAAAAAGAAATGGAGAAAAAAATTGAGGCTTTTTTCTTTTTTCTTTTTCTTTTTTCTTTTTTTTTCTAAAAAGAGAATTTTGTTTCCTTAGTGTTTATGACTTTTAGGTGGGATAATAAAAAAAGAGAAAAAAAGAGAAACAAGAGGGAGATAAACCTGACACAGGAAATTGTATAATAAAATATAGAATGAATAATATATTTGTTATGATATGAATAAATCTTTATTATTTATTATAACAAAAATAAAGGTGAATAATAGTAGTAGTGGTAGTAGTAGTAGTAGTAGTAGTAGTAGTGGTAGTAGTAGTAGTAGTGGTAGTAGTAGTAGTAGTAGTCGTAGTAGTCGTATTAGTAGTAGTAGTAGTAGTAGTAGTAGTAGTAGTAGTCGTCGTCGTAGTAGTAGTAGTAGTAGTAGTGGTAGTAGTAGTAGTAGTAGTAGTAGTAGTAGTAGTAGTAGTAGTAGTGGTAGTAGTAGTAGTAGTAGTAGTAGTAGTAGTAGTAGTGGTAGTAGTAGTAGTAGTAGTAGTAGTCGTATTAGTAGTAGTAGTAGTAGTAGTAGTAGTCGTCGTAGTAGTAGTAGTAGTAGTAGTAGTTGTAGTAGTCGTAGTAGTAGTAGTAGTAGTAGTAGTAGTAGTAGTAGTAGTAGTAGTAGTAGTAGTAGTAGTAGTAGTAGTAGTGGTAGTGGTCCTAGTCGTAGTTGTGTGGTATGGGTTACTTATATCCATACAAGTAGTATATAACGGTGGTCAGGCATAGAATGTATTCCAATAGAAAGTCGATGAAGGAAGAACGGGAACGAAACGCAATTCGTAGGAAAATGCATGAACAATGAAATCTGAGACAATGGATTGATGTTTGCAACAGGAACAGTCAAGTTTGATATGTGATGGATTGATATTTTGCAAATTAACGATTTGATATATGGTTCTCAGATTTTATTGGGATGCTCTGTAATGATTTGCCTGAATACATTCGATTGTCCACATCGGTGTTCTTGTTCACTACAGTAGTAGTAGTAGTAGTAATGGTAGTAGAAGAAGTAGTAGAAGAGGAAGTAGTGGTAGTAACAATGTCTTCGTTGAATTAATGTATGTTAAGCAAGGATTGATAGTGGCTAGCAGTGCAATCGAGAACTTAAGGCTATGTCGAGGCAAACTGCTCAAAATACACATGTGTCAACATGAGACTGATCAATTGCAGTCCTCAATAATAATGAGGAAGATACAAGTAAAACAATACCAAGTGAATTTAGACTTCATTACATTGCACAAGCAAGTGACTATCAGAATTCGGTAGCTATGTGGATAAATGTGATGGTGTTTGAAGTGAATGATACTGGGTTCAAGTCCCAGAGTGAACATCAACTCTGGGATGCAAGTACATCCACCTGCCGAGTCCCAAATTGGACGAAACGCACATCAAACTGGATTTCACTAATAGCCACTATCCATCATTGTTTAAAATGCTTGTGACTCAAGGCTATATCGATGCATATATGCCAACATGAGACTGATCAATTGAAGTCCACAATAACAATGGGAAGATGCAAGTAAAACAACATCAAGTGAAGTTAGTGTATGTTAATTTTGAGATGAATATGAATGAAGGACTCCTCAGTAGTGCAAACCTATGATTGCGCCTAGCGTGATTTGAACCCAGGATCTTCCAGGTTTTCCATGGCAGTCCAGCTTCAATTGAATCATGATCTCAACTATTAAAATCACTATAATATTTACAAATAACCCCTGTTTGGTATGAATGTGAATGAAACAATTTAGGTAGGTTATCAACAATTTTAGCAACAATTTTGATTATGGTTAAATTTGGGTTATACCCTTTGTGATTAACTTACTTAATAGACAATGTTATTAGAATAATAACAATATGTCTATTTATTTGTACTATCATGATCACATGCTTGACAGCCTAAGCACATATCTCCCTCTCACTAGTTGAAATGTTGATTGTTGAAATATCACTCGATGAATATATATATGTATATATATGTGAACTCGGATCGTATGATTAACCTTTGCTTTGCCTAGCTGCACCTTGATTCGATTTGACTATAAATTCGCTTCTGTATTAACTCGCCTCTCTGCTTCGAATTCACTCTAAGTGCTTTTATCTTTGTTGCCGGTGCTATCCGTTAATAAGACTGTAGTCGCCGCTTTATATTTGCCTTTTGATTTCAGACACCGTTGAGATTTATATAACAACAGTTATCAAGGTGATTGTCGTGTGTGTTACTTTTATCGACAAAAATAGTATAAAACACTAGTCATGAATAGAATATCTGGCAGCAGAAGATCATGAAGATCGAGAAGGAAAGAACTGGAACAAAAAGTAATTGATATAGAAATGCAGGAATATTGAAGTTTGAGACAATTAACCGATATTTTCAAAAGGAACAGCCATGTTCGAGACAACTGATTGACAATCTGTGAATTAAGTATTCATTGTATAGTTTTCAGATTTTACTAAGATGTTCTGTAAGTTTGTGTTCAAATATGTTTGATTGTCCCTTGTTGACTAGAATTTTACTGTTAGTGTTATGCCTTTTTACCGTGTCATTTATTACGTGACTAAGTCACCAATTAGAACACTGATTTTTAGAATCTTGGCCTAATGCCAAACCAATGACGCGTCAACCAGTACTAGCAGTCTATGATTCTTGTTGCATTACCCAGCCCATTGAATTCCAAATACAGTTTCAGTTTACATTGTATGAATCATGTAATTCATACATACTCAGTTTATATACAAGCAAATGAGACCGCATCACATGATCAAATAGAAAAGAACAATTATATAAGATCAAGCCAAAAAGTGACTATGATTGTGAGATACTGTAACTAAGGTATCGGGAATAATTTCAGACAGCGTTTGCAGCGAAAGGTAATGAGTTCCAGTTACCTAGTGAATATCAACTGTGACATCCATGTACATCCAGCTGACTCGACCGTTGTTGCTACCTTGACGTGGTGATCGTGATCAACCAATCGATCTATACTGTCTGAAACAATCGTTCCTAAAGGTCCTGCCATATCAAACAGGTCTGTTGAATAACGGTAAGACTAAAAGCAGTAAACCCAAGGTCCGAAGACGAAGTCGTACTGCTGACTGTATAGAGGTGTGACAGCAGTAAGGTGTTTCCTTCAGACAACCAGCATAACAGCAATGCTGCCTTCCCACACCTCACCTTATCCTACGGTAGGGTCTCGACAAGTACGGAACTAATGCGAAAATTACCCACAAAAATGTCGTGTGTAACCGACCTCAAACAGTTGTCGTTTAGTGAACCGTGATCTGACTCCGAGTCGATCGTATGAATGATTACTATCGCCTATCCTTGTATATTATCATTGACTTAAATCGAGTTAGTCAATAACGCATATAAATAAGTCAATTAACGAGAACGGACTTTTGAATGCATATATTTTGCATAATCGTTGATCAGACAAACGAACGAGGGAACAATGCGAAGAGGAGCAAGCGAAGCGAAATTGACACGCGGTGCAGATGGCTGGTAAGCCAATTCTCCGCTTAACAAAAAGTTAATCAATATTTATACGTCTACAAAAATAAATTACAGACATGTGATGAGTAACGGGATAAGAAGTGTACATACGCCTACGTGCTCATATAAATCATTCAAGATTGATAAGTGAATAATCAACAAGGTTAGAATGTGACTCAAGTAGAATAAATAGAATGGGTTGTCTGAAAGCTAGAATAAGATATTTGAGCTTAACATAATGACAAACACTACAGTCGCCTAGGAACAGCGGTCAAGCTTTTAGGTCACTTAGACCACGTTTAATCAAATATCCTTTTCAGGTACCTCCAGAAGAACCTATCCATGGTGTGGGAATCAGGGAAGTGATAACCGCCGTCATACCTCTAACATCACTCAAGACTAACCTCCAGCTGACCAGTCCCAAATAGGACGAAACGAGCATCCTAGATTCCACTGCTAGCCACCATCTAATTTTTTTTAGAATGTTCTTAATTCTCTTGTAGAGAGAGAGGTTTTCGAATTCTTTATTGATAACATCATAAATTGATCTTAATAAGACAATCATTGATACTATGAAGCATCGAACAGTTAGTTGGTTCTAATATTTAACATTTTAACAATGCACATTTATGATCCTATTCCCTGGTAATGGTGGAGATTAAATCCTTAATCTCTAGACTATAAATTGATCTATATTACTTACTTACTTACTTACTTACTAACACCTGTTACTCCTCGTGATGGAGCATAAGCTGCTCAGCAGCATTTTCCATCCAACCCTGTCCTGGGCAATCCTTTTTCAGCTATATATTTAACGTTACTGAATTCTTGATATCGCGCAAATATTGTTTAATGTGATTGGTAAGTAACTGATTCAAAAATGACATGACTGAACTTTACAATTTATGGCTTCTTGATAGGACCTTTGAATTATTCCTTAAAATTGGTCACATGTGAGCACTTGACTTACAATGAGTTATTTATAAAGGTTTTTTTAAAATATTTTATGGGTAATATACAGTGCTTACAAACAGCCCAACGAAGTGGAGAACTACCGTGGAACCTTGGATAGAGAAGAGCTTTGAAAAGACAGTACGACATACTCCATAGTATACACATGGTCATAGATCTGAACGCCTCATGAACACAAATCAAGCAGTATTTTCACAGAACAAATATCGGATATTCAAATCAGTATGTAAACAAGTTGTCATAGACGATGTGCTCACTTCATGCTCTTACCATAAGCCGGTTTAGTGTCAACCACTAAGCACTGGTTATGGAACTGCTCCTGTCAGACCTTATGGTTCCTTCTAGGTTAGTCTATTCAGGCACCAAAATGAAAATTTTCTCCAGTTCCTTAGTTGTGTTATCAATTAAAGTCGACCTCTCTGAAGACAAAGTGTGCAATTAGTCCGATCTCTATCTGAAAAATGGAGTGGTTGCTCAGTTGGCTCTTCGCAGTGCCCTTTAAGTTAGTTCATGAGAAAAACGTTCACCCACTATCTAGGAAGTACTATATGGAAGTGCAAGTCAATCTTTGTATCACCTAATATCGTTCCGTGTACTTGATTATGAATCATTAACTTATGTTCAAGAAGAAAGATTTTAAGGATGAATTAACCGTTGTCTTTCATAATGCATCCAGTTCTAATTCAACAATCACTCTCAGTTATATTGTACAGGTGTTTCATATGTTGAAATACTGATTTTTTTTTCTGTAATTTCAGTAGTTTTGTCTCTTACAGACAAAATTTAATAACTTTAACAAATGTGTTGTTCAATAGAATATGTTTGTACAGTAAGACATTCACAGAATAAAATGTGAAACAGCACTTGTTCCTTTATTTACTTACTTACTTACGTCTGTGACCATCAATGAAGAATAGACCAGCAACCAGCATTCTACAACTCACTCTGCTCTGGGACTTCCTTTATAGTTCCATTAAATTCTTGTTTATTCTTCTCATATCTGTCTCCATTTCTCAAAGTAATGTGTTCTTTGGTATTCCTCTTCTTCTCCTTTGGCCTTGAGGATTTTAAGTGAGGGATTGCCTTGTGACGCAGTTCCGTGTCCTATCTACCTCCTTTTACTTCTTTCTCATTTCTTCCACCACTGGAATATGGTTTGTTCTATCCCATAGTAGGTTGTTGCTAATAATGTCTGACCAACTCATTCGAAGTATTTTGCGTAGACAACTGTTA